GACCCCATGGCAAACTTCGAAGGTGTCAGGCCAAACGATTGCTAGGCTCCCCATCCCTTGAGGCTGCGTAGGAGGAACTGGCTCCTGGTTTTAATATTTCCTCCTTATTTTCCTCCTTGCCGTTCCTCTCCTTGGCTTTCCATTATGTTCAAAACCCAGATGCGGTCGCAGAAGACGCACATACATCATCCTTCAGCATCCTTTCCACGTGCAATTACTTTAACGGATGTTTTCCGATGCAAAAGGAAAGGGCGCAACGTTTTGTGTTGATTTGTAGACCGGCAGCCAAAGGCTTTGGTCTCCCTGTGGGATGAAAATCCCGCAGATTCTTTCTTTGCCAAATGAATTTCATTGATCCACCCTGCAGGCCATGAAATGCTCACTGGTTGAGCTTGGGCCTTGCCTGGCAGAGAAACTGCCTGGCAGAGAAACTGCACACCTTGTGCCCCTCCTGGGCAATGGCCGCCCGCCCGCCCGCGACTCCTGAGCCTCCCCCGATCTGTCAAAACAACGGGTTCTTGCCCGTTAGTTTTTAGCTGAATTGGTGAGCCGCTAACAATTTAAATTTAAATTTTGCGCCTCCACGAAACCTCAGCGCAGGCGACGGATACTTAAGGGAGATTAATTCAATCCCTTCTTCATTTGCTTAGCCTTCGATTCTTTGAGAGCCAGTGTGGTGTAGTGGTTAAGAGCGGTAGACTCGTAATCTGGGGAACCGGGTTCGCGTCTCCGCTCCTCCACATGCAGCTGCTGGGTGACCTTGGGCCAGTCACACTTCTTTGAAGTCTCTCAGCCCCACTCACCTCACAGAGTGTTTGTTGTGGGGGAGGAAGGGAAAGGAGAATGTTAGCCACTTTGAGACTCCTTAAAGGGAATGAAAGGTGGGATATCAAATCCAAACTCTTCTTCTTCTTCTTCTTTGCTTCGTGTCACAGGGATGCAACAAAACAAGCCAATAATATTTTGCAAATTAATTAGCAGCCCGCCAGCTGACATCAGCCAAATTTTAGGCAATTTATCCACCGATCAAAGCTTGCAGCCCTAATAACTGACATTCCTCTTTATAAGACCTTCCCCTTTGCAACAAGGATTGTCTTACAGGAGGCAAACTAAGTCTGGGAGTGGACCTCCCACCCAATGCCACACAAATAAACCCTGGGATGAATTAATTTCCAATCTAGGCCATAGTGGCTCTGAATGACAGAGAAGTCACTTTCCAACAGCAGACGCTGCAATCCAAACCACGCACCACGGATGATGAAGAAGCAAATCTGCCCTCTCCAGGATATTCCCTTCAAGCATAAAGACAACAACAGAAAAACCAGCCCCTGCCCAAGTCCAATTCAATCAGGCTCTTGCTGGCTTGTGTCAAAGTCTCAGGTCGCAGAACAAGACAAACAGACGAACACACAGATTGCATATTAAGTTTGGGATGCTCAGAAAGAAAGCTCTGTTTTCCATTAAGCAGGCATTACGAGATGCAAGGCTCTTGCAAGCACCGCAGCCAAGATGGATCGCCTCCTCGGAACCACACAAGGCTAATTGAAAGAGAAATGTTACGATCTGACAGCAGGCAGGTTTATTGCACTGATAGTCACTCCCCACCGGTGCAAGAAGGGAGCATTTAGGCTGCCTGAATTTCCTTAAGGATGTAAACCGAGCCGGCTGGATCAGGCCCATGGCCCATCTGGTCTAGCATCCTGTTCCAAAGAGATTGCCTGTGGGAAACCAGCAACCAGGATTCACAGAACTGTAGCATTGGAAGGGACCCAGAGGGTCATCTATTCCAACCCCCTGCAGGAATCTCAATGAAAGCATCCATGACAGGTGGCCACCCAACCTTTCCTTTTAAAACTCCAGGGAAGGAGAGTCCACAACCTCCCGAGGAAGACCGTTCCACTGTCGGACAGCTCTTAGCATCAGAAAGATCTTCCTGACATTGAGTCAGAATCTCCTTTCTCGTAACTCACAGCCACAGGTTCGAGTCCTACCCTCCAGAGCTGGAGAAAACAAGCTTGCTCCATCCTCCATGTGACATCCCTTTAGATATTGAAAGATGGCCATCATATCTCCTCTCAGTCTATGGTTACCAGATTTTTTTCCCAATGAATCCGGGGACACTTTTTTTATAAGTAGCAACAGGGAGTGAGTAGTGGGGATGGAGAGGCAAAAGACCCTGGGCCCAAGCACACATGCATATTGCATAAAGGTGCAAAGCCCTTCTTTTGCGCCCTGTGAAACAGAAATGCGCAGAGTTTTAAAAAAACTGGACAACGGCACGCCACCCGCCTGTGACTCCGGAGCCTTCCCTGATCTCCTGCCCAGGAGAGGCTGCGTACGGCTAAGGCTCCCCCAAGAGCCACGCTCCCTTTAAAGAGCGCGTGGAGTGTGTGTGTGCGGCTCTTGGGGGCTTTTCCCCTAGGAGGGAGAAGGGCAGCCCTTCTCCCTCCTCGGGGAAAAGCCCCCAAGAGCCGCACCCACGCTCCACGCAGTTCTTTAAGGGGAGCACTGAGCAGAGCCTCCCGCCTGCATTCGCTCCATAAGACGCACACACATTTCCCCTTACTTTTTAGGAGGGGGAAGTGCGTCTTATGGGGCGAAAAATGTGGTATATTGTTTTTCCAAGTGAGGTTCTCACTAAGGTAAACTCCCAGGAATTTAAAGGAAGAGACTCTCTCCACACAACCCCCCCTGATATACAACGGGGCTAGTTCCCCTCTCTTCCTCCGAAAGTCCAACGCAGTCTCCTTTGTCTTGCTAATATTTAAGTGCAAGTTATTCTCTAGGGCACCATGTACAGTGGTAACACAGGTTACATACACTTGAGGTTACATACGCTTCAGGTTACAGACTCCGCTAACCCAGAAATAGTGCTTCAGGTTAAGAACTTTGCTTCAGGGTGAGAACAGAAATCGTGCTCTGGCGGTGCGGCGGCAGCAGGAGGCCCCATTAGCTAAAGTGGTGCTTCAGGTTAAGAACAGTTTCAGGCTAAGAACGGACTTCTGGAACGAATTAAGTACGTAACCAGAGGTACCACTGTAGATACTTTTTGAACCTCCCCCCGTACGCTGATTCATCTTCACCTGTAATTAGACCCATTATGGTGGTATCAAACTTAATAATAATTAATATCTCTATTATTTAATTAATAATTGCAGTGGATGGATCAGGTGAAATACAGTCATATGTATACGACGTGTTTCAAATGAGCCTCATTCAGTCCCTTGATGTTCTGTGTCTGCTCACTTACGTTCTTTGTCAAAACTGTCCAGAAAGCGAAGGAGGAGAGGTCAAGCAGCGACTCGGGTTCCCTGCTCGGCATTTTCCTAAGCAGATGTTCCCTGCTCTGTGCCGAGATGATGCTATTATTATTATTATTGTGCAGGAATCTGGTTTCTGGCACAGGATGTTTCAGGGTCTTCCAAATATTTGGGGAAGAAACTGATCCTCCCCGCTCAGTATTGTTGACACTGGGCGGCTGTGCCTCTTATTCACCTCGTGTTTTCTTTCTCCTCTCTCCGTGCAGGACATCTGCGACGACCCCCACCTCTTCGTGGATGGAATCAGCTCTCACGACTTGCACCAAGGCCAGGTGGGGAACTGCTGGTTTGTGGCGGCTTGCTCCTCCCTGGCATCGAGAGAAGCCCTGTGGCAAAAGGTAACAGCGGACCTTGGAAATTGGGTTGTTGCTTGTTTACTTTAGGAGCATTGTCAAGGCACATTTTGCTTCTTGCAAAGCCGAGCTGTGTGGGCTTAAGCCCGCAAAACCCGGCTCCTTGCAAAGCTCCACCACTTCTTGTTTTGAAAACACAAGTCTCTAGTCCTCATCATTGGGTAGGAAAGTTTGGAAATGTTTTGAAGGTTCTCCAAAGCCAGAACGACGTCAGGGGAGGAAAGACAGAGTGTGAAAGACTTCTGCCCTCCTTTTAACTTCCCTGCAATCCTATCCCATTTACTTTTGATGGCTTTGTGATTGGGCCCAGACTCCTTCAGATAAGATGCAACAGAATTTTGGAATTGAACATAAGAAGAATGCTGCTGGATCAGACCAAAGGACCGTGTTGTCCAGCATCCAGAGACCCAATGAAATTATTGAAATACCAGACCCTTCAAGTACCCCAATTTTCCTGGCATAGCCCCAGAATTACAAAAGCCATCCCAACTAATCCAGAATGCGGCAGCTAGACTGGTGACTGGGAGCGGCGGCCGAGACCATATAACACCGGTCTTGAAAGACCTGCATTGGCTCCCAGTATGTTTCCGAGCACAATTCAAAGTGTTGGTGCTAACCTTGAAAGCCTGAAGGAGCGTCTCCACCCCCATCGTTCTGCCCGGACACTGAGGTCCAGCGCCGAGGGCCTTCTGGCGGTTCCCTCCCTGCGAGAAGCCAAGTTACAGGGAACCAGGCAGAGGGCCTTCTCGGTAGTGGCACCCGCCATGTGGAACGCCCTCTCATCAGATGTCAAAGAGAAAAATAACTACCAAACTTTTAGAAGACATCTGAAGGCACCCCTCTTTAGGGAAGTTTTTAATGTTTAATAGGTTATTGTATTTTAGTGTTTTGCTGGAAGCTGCCCAGAGTGGCTGGGGAAACCCAGCCAGATGGCCGAGGTATAAATAATAAATTATTATTATTATTATTATTATTATTATTATTATTATTATCATCATCATCATCATCATCATCATCATCATCATCATCCCAGTTTCTGGATTGATCCCAGAATGTCACGCTTTCCCTTCACTGGAGAAATCTTGGCTGGGATGGTATAGGATGGCCCTATTTGCATCAGAGAAATGTTGTGAAAGGGATGGAACAGGACTTCCCTGTTTTCACCAGAGAGGATGAAATGCAGATAAAATCAACAGATTTTAAGAACAGTTCGGGGGTTATTGTTCTTTAATGCGACCTTCGCCAAAGCGGTGCCATCCAGAAATTTTGGACCATAACTTCCATCAGCAGTGTGCTGCCTAGATCCGATGGAAGTTGTTATCCAAAACACCCAGAAAAGCCCAGGCTGGCAAAGACCATTTCAATGGAGGCAACTGCATTGATGCAAAAAGTTAAGCCTTCTCTTCCTGCCTGCCATGGGTCTTCCGGATTCAGAGTCTCCTGTGGTTTCGATGAAAGAGTTATGCTTTTTCTGCCCTTCCTGCAATGCCTATCTTAGCCGGGCTTTCTGCTTTGCCCTTCCTCCACAGTATCCGCCCTGTATCCCATCAACTAGATTATGCCGTTTGTCTGTTGGCTGTTTGCTGGCCAGCTGCCAGCTGCCGCTGCCTGAGCCATGTGCCGAACAAGGGGGGGGGGGCTACGCAGATACACATCAGCACATGAACACACACACTACAATCTTCATTATGCACTGCTCAGACACTGCACCCTTTCACATGGCAGTAGATAAGGTACGTTTCCGAGCACAGTTCAAAGTGTTGGTGCTGACCTTTCAAGCCCTAAATGGCCTCAAAGGCCCAGTAGACCTGAAGGAGCATCTCCACTCCCATCTTTCAGCCCGGACACTGAGGTCCAGTGCTGAGGGCCTTCTGGCGGTTCCCTCCCTGCGAGAAGTGAGGTTGCAGGGAACCAGGCAGAGGGCCTTCTCGGTGGTGGCGCCTGCCCTGTGGAATGCCCTCCCAGCAGATGTCAAGGCAATAAACAACTATTTTACTTTTAAAAGACAACTGAAGGTGCCCCTGTTCAGGGAAGTTTTTAATTCTGTTGGGAGCTGCCCAGAGTGGCTGGAAAAACTCAGCCAGATAGGCGGGGTATAAACAGTAAATTCTTCTTCTTCTTGGCTAAGGAATATTCAGGTAAAGGTAAAGAGACCCCTGACCATTAGGTCCACTTTGACGTTCAGAGGATGCAGGTGGTGCTGTGGATTAAACCACAGAGCCTAGGGCTTGCCTATCAGAAGGTCGGCGGATCGAATCCCCACGACGGGGTGATCTCCCGTTGCTCGCTCCCTGCTCCTGCCAACCTAGCAGTTTGAAAGCAAGTAGTCAAAGTGCAAGTAGATAAATACGTACCACTCTGGTGGGAAGGTAAACGGCGTTTCCGTGCGCTGCTCTGGTTCGCCAGAAGCGGCTTAGTCATGCTGGCCACATGACCCGGAAGCTGTACGCTGGCTCCCCTCAGCCAATAAAGCGAGATGAGCGCCGTAACCCTAGAGTCGGCCATGACTGGACCTAATGGTCAGGGGGCCCTTTACCTTTACCTTTTACTTTGACGTGCTTTCAAATGTCTAGGTTGGCAGGAGCAGGGACCGAGCAACGGGAGCTCACCCCGTCACGGGGATTCGAACCGCCGACCTGCTGATCGGCAAGCCCAAGAGGCTCAGTGGTTTAACCCACAGCCCCCAAATCCCACAGGACTGTGTATGCATTGTTTGCTTGCTGGGGTGTATGTGAGAGAGGGGAAAGAGGAAGGAACGTACCCCCTCCTGAAAGCTTTACTGCTTGCTGGGAATCATAGAATTGTAGGGTTGGAAGGGACCCCCTAAGATCATCTATCCCAACCCCCTTCAAGGCAGGAATATTTTGCCCAACCTGGGGCTCGAACCCACAGCCCTGAGCTTGAGATTCTCTACCGGCTGTTGCCGGAGGGGAGAGCACTGCTGTTTTCAGGTCCTGATTGTGCGATTCCCCCAGGGGCGTCTCGTTGGACACACTGAGAGCTGGATGGATTATTCTCTGTTTCACTGTTTAATTTTCAAGCCTCAGGCTTTGAACTTTGCAAGGGCTTTCAAAGGAAACAGGCGGATTCATACAGAGACAAAAGGCTGCCAAGAACTAGACGTTGCAATGACTGTATTCCAGCCTCAGGCACCAGAAATTGAAGTGCCCAAGGCGCCCCAACCAAAATATGATTTAAAAGCCTGTTCCTGTTCGTTATCTTCGCCCCCATTGGAAAAGATGCTTGTGACAGCTGCTGCCCTCTAGTGGACAAACGCTGGGTTTCTGCCTGTCCGCACTTAGCAAATCGTCATTCTGATGTGTTCGTCAGATCATAGAATTGTACAAAAGGGTTGTCTCGTCCAACCCCCTGACATGTAGGACTCTTATCCCCAACGTGGCTCTTGAAGCCACGACGCTGAGATTAAGAGTCTTGGGACGTGCAGATGACTAGCAGACTTTGAAAACCTGCTCTCGCCAAATCAAGTTCATCCGATTTGCTGAATAAACCTAAATAACTTTAACTGGCTTTTGAATAAATGCCCAATGCATTGTTGCTCTTTTGAAATATTTTGTGTTATTACCTTAGTGCAGGGGGTCAGCAGACTTTTTCAGCAGGGGGCCGGTGCACTGTCCCTCAGACCCTGTGGGGGCCGGACTACAGTATATATATATTTTTGGGGGGGATGAACGAATTCCTATGCCCCACAAATAACCCAGAGATGCATTTCAAATAAAAGGACACATTCTACTCATGTAAAAACACACTGATTCCCGGACTGTCTGCGGGCTGGATTTAGAAGGCGATTGGGCCAGATCCGGCCCCCGGGCCTTAGTTTGCCTACCCATGCCTTAGTGGGTCACGCTATTCCGAATAATGCTTTTATTATGGGTTGGGGGCACCGGGGATGAAATTATGGTGGCTTGTTTGAGAGCCACTGGTTGTAATCATCCTTTGGCAACCTGATGCCCTCCTTGGGGGGAGGGGAATGTTTCTAGAATTGCTCTATCCCTGAAATCGTGGAGAGCCATTGCTGCCAGTCAGTGCAGACACCATTGAGATAGATGTACCAGTGGTCTAGGGATGCAGGTAGTGCTGTGGGTTAAACCAGAGCTTAGGACTTGCTGATCAGAAGGTCGGCGGTTCGAATCCCCGTGACGGGGTGAGCTCCCGTTGCTCAGTCCCTGCTCCTGCCAACCTAGCAGTTCGAAAGCACGTTAAAGTGCAAGTAGATAAATAGGTACCGCTCCGGCGGGAAGGTAAACGGCATTTCCGTGCGCTGCTCTGGTTTGCCAGAAGCGGCTTAGTCATGCTGGCCACATGACCTGGAAGCTGTACGCCGGCTCCCTCGGCCAGTAAAGCGAGATGAGCGCCGCAACCCCAGAGTCGTCTGCGACTGGACCTAATGGTCAGGGGTCCCTTTACCTTTACCTTACCAGTGGTCTGTTTTTGTTAAAAAAGAAAAGGTAAAGGACCTCTGGACAATTAAGTCCAGCCAAAGGCAACTATGAAGTGTGGCGCTCATCTTGCTTCAGGCTGAGGGAGCCAGTGTTTGTTCACAGACAGCTTTCCAGGTCATGTGCCCAGCAGGACTAAACCGCTTCTGGCGCAACGGGACACCGTGACAGAAACCAGAGCGCACGGAAACGCTGTTTACCTTCCCGCCGCAGTGGTACCTGTTTATCTACTTGCGCTGGTGTGCTTTTGAACTGCTAGGTTGGCAGGAGCTGGGACAGAGCATCGGGAGCTCACTCCATCACAGGGATTTGAACCACCGACCTTCCAATCGGCAAGCCCAAGAGGCTCGGTGGTTTAGACCACATCGCCACCCGCGTCCCTTTACCTTCTGACTCTGTATGAGGGAGCTTCCTATGTTCCTACATTGGCCATCTCTGGAGCAGGCCTGCTTGACTCTGGAAGGTAGAGTTATTATCGTTTAGCAGGGTTGTTGTTGTTGTTGTTTAGTCGTTTAGTCGTGTCCGACTCTTGGCAGGGGGTTGGACTCGATGGCCCTTGTGGTCTCTTCCAACTCTATGATTCTATGATTCTATGACTCTTCGTGACCCCCTGGACCAGAGCACGCCAGGCACTCCTGTCTTCCACTGCCTCCCGCAGTTTGGTCAAACTCATGCTGGTAGCTTCGAGAACACTGTCCAACCATCTCGTCCTCTGTCATCCCCTTCTCCTTGTGCCCTCCATCTTTCCCAACATCAGGGTCTTTTCCAGGGAGTCTTCTCATGAGGTGGCCAAAGTATTGGAGCCTCAGCTTCCGGATCTGTCCTTCCAGTGAGCACTCAGGGCTGATTTCCTTCAGAATGGAGAGGTTTGATCTTCTTGCAGTCCATGGGACTCTTGTCTCCTCCAGCACCATAATTCAAAAGCATCAATTCTTCGGCGATCAGCCTTCTTTATGGTCCAGCTCTCACTTCCATACATCACTACTGGGAAAATCATAGCTTTTACTATACGGACCTTTGTTGGCAAGGTGATGTCTCTACTTTTTACTTGTGACATTATGCGCTTCCTGCGCCGGCTGCCATTCACTGCCTGCCTTCTCCCCCTGTTTGACCTCCTTCCTGAGCATTGAGTTCAGCTGCGCAAATTGCCTCCCAATCTGCTCCAGGAGACTCCATTCAAAGAGGAGAAGAGGACCCATGAGGCCCTCATTATTTCAGACATTGCCGTCCCTCCCCCGGCAACCAATTTTTGTTTTGTTTTGTTTGTTTGCTCGATGCTAACTTTCCAATCCCTTCTCTCTCCCTGTGGGAGCAGAGAGCATCGCTTGCCTCTCAGGAGCCTTTTTGTATTACTTGCTGGATGGGGTTGAGGCTGGAAACTTTTTGCTCTGTGTGGCGATCACACACAGGGTCCTCGGACGTTTGACTGTCTATTGATCCCTGTGCCACCACTGTGATTGCCTCTTCGCTGCCACCAACCCGTTTCCCTCGGGGACACACAGAGTCCAGACAGTTGTCAACATTAACAAATAATCAAGTTTATTTTTATAAGCATGAACAAGTTTAAGGTTTCAGTTAATTCTTCTTGTCAGTTTCTTAATCTTAGTTTCTTTACTGACCTATTCGTTCCTAACAACTTCAAACTGATTATCCCAACTACAGTGGTGCCTCGCAAGACGAAATTAATCTGTTCCGCGAGTCTCTTCGTCTTGCGGTTTTTTTGTCTTGCGAAGCACGGCTATTAGCGGCTTAGCGGCTATTAGCGGCTTAGCAGCTATTAACGGCTTAGCGGCTTTAAGAAAAAGGAAACAAACTCGCAAGAACTCGCAAGACGTTTCGTCTTGCGAAGCAAGCCCATAGGGAAATTCGTCTTGCGGAACGACTCAAAAAACGGAAAACCCTTTCGTCTAGCGAGTTTTTCGTCTTGCGAGGCATTCGTCTTGCGGGGCACCACTGTAACTATCTGACTCCACCTAACAGTTCCTCTCACTCTCTCACAACACAACTCGACCACCCCACAGACTTATCCTCCCTCTTCCTTCTCCAACTCCCAACTCTCAACTGACTTTCCAACAACTCCAACTCTAACTCTAACTCCTCCCCTTGGGTCCCCACTGGCCAGTCACTTCACATTCATGTAACCCTTTCCTTATGACCCACCTAGGAGGCAAACGCCACACTCTGGCTTAGCATTTTCGGACAGACAGCCTGCTTCGGTGCCCAACTTTACAAGACGGTTGGTGCAGGAATTCAGCTGGGGTCATGCAGGTGTGTGCAACTTGAAGCCTTTCAGGAGTGGCAAAGTCATCTGCTGGAGCGTCAGAGTACCGTATTTTTCGCTCCATAAGACGCACTTTTTCCCTCCTAAAAAGTAAGGGGAAATGTCTGTGCGTCTTATGAAGTGAATGTGTTGTTGATCACTGGCTCCCTTTCTGGTCCCTTGCTCCCTTGCCCAGGCCTCCATTTTTTGATGTTCTGCAGATGGAGGCTGTTTGTTTCCCCACCGACATGTGACTGGCTGATTAGATTATCTGTCTGGAAACTGTAGAAAGGTCTCCCTTTCCTTTCCTATGGAAGCTGCAGAACTGTGAGTTGAACCCCATAAAAACGGGATTTTTTTCCCTTTGCAAAAGAAGCTGCACAACTTTGAGCTGATCCTCCAAAAACTGGGGCTTTCCCCCTTTCCTCCTCTAAAAACTAGGTGCGTCTTATGGAGCGAAAATACGGTAATCGAAAGAGCCTCCTTTCTCTTGCGAGCGAAGGAGGGGAGAAAGAGGCTTTCAAGTTTGGGCATGAGAGATCAGCCATGGGGAAGCCTGAGAAAGTGGAAAGCAATCGCGCAGAGGCTGGGTACTTCTTTCCTTTTCTTTAATGGGGCTCCTACTTCGCACCGGTCCTTTAAGCGGTGTCACTTCTTTGCAAGATTGGTTCTTAATAGTTAATCAAAGAATTGTAAAGTTGGAAGGGACCATGAAGCTGGTCTAGTCTAACCCTCTGCGATGCAAGAATATGCAACTGCCCTATACAGGGATCAAACCTGCAACCTTGGCATTATTAATGTTTTATTGTGTTTTTAATATTTGGTTGGGAGCTCTCCAGATTTGCTGGGGCAATGCAGTCAGATGGCGGAATAGAAATAAAATATAATAAAATAAAATAAAAAGGGTTTCTAATAAAAAGCAGCTCTAATTAAAACCCGGAGTAACGGGAGGAACAAAAGCATCTCTCTGGCCTAGGCATGGTCCTTAGCTGAGATGTTAGGACACCTGCTTCGCATGTAGAAGGTTCCAGGTTCAATCTCTGGCTCTGAAGGAGCGTCTCCACCCCCATCGTTCTGCCCGGACACTGAGGTCCAGCTCCAAGGGCCTTCTGGCGGTTTCCTCCCTGCGAGAAGCCCAGTTACAGGGAACCAGGCAGAGGGCCTTCTCGGTGGTGGCGCCCACCCTGTGGAATACCCTCCCACCAGATCTCAAAGAGAAAAATAACTGCCAACCTTTTAGAAGACATCTGAAGGCAGCCATGTTCAGGGAAGCTTTTAATGTTTAATACGTTATTGTATTTTAATATTCCGTTGGAAGCCACCCAGAGTGGCTGGAGAAACCCAGCCAGATGGGCAGGGAATAAATAAATTATTATTATTATTATTATTATCATCATCATCATCATCATCATCATCATCTCTGGTCTCGAGCAAGAGGGCAATAAAAGATGTGGTGTTCCCATTACAGTGGTACCTTGGGTTAAGTACTTAATTCGTTCCGGAAGTCCGTACTTAACCTGAAACTGTTCTTAACCTGAAGGACCACTTTAGCTAATGGGGCCTCCTGCTGCCGCCACACAATTTCTGTTCTCATCCTGAAGCAAAGTTCTTAACCTGAAGCACTGTTTCTGGGTTAGCGGAGTCTGTGACCTGAAGCGTATGTAACCTGAAGCATTTGTAACCCGAGGTACCGCTGTATACCTAACCATTGGCCATGCTGGCTGTGGCTGATGCTAATTTGGAGTCCAGTACCTTCTGGAGGGCCAAAAGTCCCCTGCCCTTACTCTAACCACTACACCGGGAGCAAGGGCCCTTTTCAGTCTGGCTGACCCGATCCTGAGGTTCTGCGCGGCTGGCAGGCTGCTTTGACAAGTGAGCAGAGCGCCCACCTGTCAGTCCCCTGAAATAACCATGACATCAGGCGACCGGCATTCCCAACCTGCGAAGGAAGATCCAAGCACTGCTGATCGATGGGGACCAAGCCTCGAAGGGATCAGCTACGCTCCAGAGTTTTCAGTCAGCGCTGTCTTCGACCCCTGTTTTGGGATCACTGCCTGGAAGATCCGGAATACAGCAGGATCCCAACCGGGCTAGAAGTCAGCGCCGATCAGCTGGTCACCAAATTTAAATTTGGCGAATGCAAGCCCCGCTGGCCAAGGGACACTCTGGAGCACCTGTGTTGGAGAGCGGCCAGGGCTGAGGCTGTTTGAGACATTTCTCTCCGCAAAGCTGTTGGATTTGCATCACGCCTCCCACAGGAATGCAACTTTCCTTATCTCACAGCCATCATCTGGGCCTCCAGAGAAGTACATGATGATGGAGACTGTTTCCGCTTCGAGGGTTGTTTTTTCCCCAGCCTCTCAGGACTGTCCTGCAGTACAACGTTGCTAGATCATTGTTGTTGTTGTTTAGTCGTTTAGTCGTGTCCGACTCTTCGTGACCCCATGGACCAGAGCACGCCAGGCACTCCTGTCTTCCACCGCCTCCCGCAGTTTGGTCAGGCTCATGTTTGTAGCTTCAAGAACACTATCCAACCATCTCATCCTCTGTCGTCCCCTTCTCCTTGTGCCCTCCATCTTTCCCAACATCAGGGTCTTTTCCAGGGAGTCTTCTCTTCTCATGAGATGGCCAACTGCACTACCTGGGGTATACGAGACATCAATTTCTTTCTGGTATAGTTCCTCTGTGTATTCTTGCCACCTCTTCTTGATGTCTTCTGCTTCTGTTAGGTCATTTCCACTTTTGTCTTTTATTATGGAAATCTTTGCTAGATCATAGAATCATAGAATCATAGAGTTGGAATAGACCACAAGGGCCATCGAGTCCAACCCCCTGCCAAGCAGGAAACACCATCAGAGCACTCCTGACATATGGTTGTCAAGCCTCTGCTTAAAGACCTCCAAAGAAGGAGACTCCACCACACTCCTTGGCAGCAAATTCCACTGTCGAACAGCTCTTACTGTCAGGAAGTTCTTCCTAATGTTTAGGTGGAATCTTCTTTCTTGTAGTTTGGATCCATTGCTCCGTGTCCGCTTCTCTGGAGCAGCAGAAAACAACCTTTCTCCCTCCTCTATGTGACATCCTTTTATATATTTGAACATGGCTATCATATCACCCCTTAACCTCCTCTTCTCCAGGCTAAACATGCCCAGCTCCCTTAGCCGTTCCTCATAAGGCATCGTTTCCAGGCCTTTGACCATTTTGTTCCCAAACTTTTGCTCTTGGTCCTGTCGCAAGCGCGGCAGCGGAGCAAGCACCTTGATCTACACCATGAATATTCAGCCACTCATTATTGAGGGGAAGTGCGTGGAACAGGTCTCAGTGTTTCGATTTCTGGGAATGGAGTTGACAGACGACCTAACCTGGGGAGAAAACAGCAAAGACCTGATGAAGAGAGCACAGCAGAGGTTATATTTTCTGAGAATCCTCCAGAAAAACAATCTCTCAAAGGACCTGTTGATGGCATTTTACCATTGTACTGTGGAGAGTGTATTAACTTATGGTCTGTGTGTGTGGTTTGGGAGCTGCAGGGTCAGGGAAAAATCAATGCTATCCAGGGTTGTAAAGACTGCGGAGAGAATAATTAGGTGCACTCTTCCCACCTTGGATCAAATCTATGCTTCCAGGTGCCATAAGAAAGCGGCAGAGACAGCGCAGGATAGTGTGCACCCCGGAAATGATCTCTTTCAGCTTCTGCCTTCTGGAGGAAGGTATAGGGTTATAAAGGCCAGGACTAGCTGCCTGAGAAAGGAGATTCCAACGAAACATCAGGAAGAACTTTCTGACTTTCTAAAGAAGTGTGCATGCACACGAAAGCTTATACCCAGAACAAACTTAGCTGGTCTCTAAGGTGCTACTGGACAATTTTTATTTATTTATTTCAACTTTCTGACAGCAAGAACTGTTTGATAGTGGGAGGTTGTGGACTCTGCTTCCTTGGGGGGTTTTAAGCAGAGGTTAGATGTCTACCTGTCACATATGATCTAGTTGAGATTCCTTCATTGCAGGGGGTTGGACTAGATGACCCTAGGGTCCCTTCCAACTCTACAATTCAACAATATTCTACAATACAAACAGCCTCAGCCCAACAGACCTGAACTAGCATCTGCACCCCCATCGTTCAGCCCGGACACTGAAGTCCAGCTCCGAGGGCCTTCTGGCGATTCCCTCATTGTGAGAAGGGAGCTTACAGGGAACCAGCCAGAGGGCCTTTTTGGTGGTGGCACCCTCCCTGTGGAACGCCCTCCCACCAGATGTCAAGGAAATAAAGAAGTCTCTGACTTTTAGAAGACATCTGAAGGCAGCCCTGTTTAGGGAAGTTTTTAATGTTTGATGTTTTCTTGTGTTTTTAATATCCTGTTGGAAGCCACCCAGAGTGGCTGGGGAGGCCTGGCCAGATGGGCGGGATAATTATTATTATTATTATTATTATTATTATTATTATTATTACAGTGGACGCTCGGGTTGCGAACGTGATCCGTGCGGGAAGCATGTTCGCAACCTGCAACGTCTGCAACCTGCAGCGCCGTGTCTGCGCACGCGCAGGTCGCAATTTGGCGCTTCTGCACATGCACAAAGTGCGATTTAGCGCTTCTGTGCAAGCGCCGTAACCCATTCCGGTACTTCCAGGTTTCAGCTAACCCGAAATTGCACAACCTGAAGCGCCCGTAACCCAAGGTCTTATTATTATTATTATTATTATTATTATTATTATTATTATTACTACTACTACTACTATTATTATTACAATTCTGGTTTCATGTCAGGGTTTGACATAAGGAGCCTGCAGTCTAAAATTATCAACGCTGGGGAAAGCGTCAGATGAACGGGACGCAGGGGAAAGAATATGGGGCTGTTTCCAGCACGAGCCTAGGCTTCTTTACATCCTTCGATGCCATACGGGGTGAGGAGAGAGGAAACCTGCTACCCCCTCCTGAATTTCCAGCATATGCCCCCAGCCTCTGCCCCATCCCGAGAGGCAGGCGCATAGGAGACCTCGTTTAAACCTGACCGAAAATGCCACGTGCCTCGTTTGGGAATGGTCACTAGGCGCGTTGCCAGGGAAGCTGACATCAGAGGCTGCATCCCCTATAGATTTATCGCACAGTGCCGGGATCCGTCCCTCGCCTGCAAATGAGGCGAGGGCACCCAGAGGAAAGCCCCCGAGGGTACTTCGCGTCACCGAAGCAGGTTGCCTAGCACCGCTGGGACGGGGAGGGCCGGCCAGAGAGAGAGAGAGAGAGAGAGAGAGAGGAAGAGTTTGCAAACAGTGTCATATTTTTCTTGCTACGTCTTGGACGCTCGGAGAAAGACAGAGAGGCAGTGCTGCAGAACACGGCCGAGGGGAAGGGAGGAGAGGGCAAACCGAAGGTCTCGATGGCTTCGGAGGCGGCCGAGCTGGAGCTGCACTTGGTGCAGGACGTCGAACTGACCCGGTGCATGCGTCTGCGCGTCGAGAGCCTCCAGCAGAGGAACGAGAAACCGCAAGACGGGGAGAAGCTGCTGCAAGCCAACGAGTTCGTCTACCGCCTGGACTTCTCGCGCCAGCACGGCCTCAGCTTCCTGCGCTGGAACGTGCTTCTGGAGAAGCCTGGCAAGGTCACCATCATCGGCACCTCCCAGCATTGGACGCCGGACCTCACCAACCTCATGCGCAGGCAGCTTCTGGAGCCTGTGGCCGTCTTCTGGAAGAAGGCGGGCGCCCAGGAGGTCGATTGGAACGAGGCCGACGCTCTGGAGTTTGGGGAGAGACTGGTGGAGCTGGCCAGGATCCGGAAAGTCATGTATTTCCTCCTGGCGTACACAGACGGCCTGGAACCAGCCCAGCTCAAGTGCTCAGTCGTGTTCAAAGTCTGAGTTTGGCCTCTCTTGCCCTCCCAACTTCCTTAACTTCTCCTGTTTTCTCCCCGCTGCTGTCGACTCTGTGGCTGCTTTCTCATTTTCTAAAACAAAATTGCACCGTGGAGACGGTGCAGTTTATTTCTTCCTGCTCGCCACAGGTGCCTGCCTCAATTTGGGAAGTCTGCTTATTTCCTTCTATTTATTTCTTTGCTTCTCTAACTTGGGAGGCCACGCTTTTTCGACGCGCTTTCAACGTAGGATTCAGAGAAGCGGCGCATGACGCAGCTTAGGCGGCAAAGTTTCCTATCGGGAAATGAGGTGCGTTTTCTGTTTTGAAGCTTTGGGACGGACGCGCACACGGGTGCAGACAGACCACCGAGTCAAGAAATCCATGCAACGCTGGTGCAAAAAGACTCCTTGGCAATCTCAGAAGGCGACGCAGCTGGGCTGGATGAAGCAAGGGCACCCCTGGGTGGCCGACTCCCATCTTGCCCCAATTCTTTACACGGGGAGAGCTGCGCATCTGCACAGCTCTGACTACCCTTCGGAGCAAAGGGTATATTAGTGGAGCCAAGGACCTCATACATGGGACCGTTCGGATTTTTATTTTCCTTTTGCCTCTTTTGAAGCAAGCTGGTAGTCCTCATGGGTTCTGGGAGAAATACGGGGGCAGATATAGCTTAAAGCAAGGGGTAAAAGGGGAAGAGTCCAGTGATGAAGACTTGTTGAACTATTTCTTTTCATCTCCCCACCCCAACCCCAGCAACCCTCAATTAGAGCATTTTTATCACATAGAGTGTTATAGGTATCTCCGCCCCCCCCTAAAAAAACCCCCACACATACAGTGTTTAGCATGAAGTAGGTGTTGTTGTTTAATCGTGTCCGACTCTTCGTGACCCCCTGGACTAGAGCACGCCAGGCACTCCTGTCTTCCACTGCCTCCCGCAGTTTGGTCAGGCTCATGCTGGTAGCTTCAAGAACACTGTCCAATCATCTCGTCCTCTGTCGTCCCCTTCTCCTTGTGCCCTCCATCTTTCCCAACATCAGGGTCTTTTCCAGGGAGTCTTCTCTTCTCATGAGGTGGCCAAAGTCTTGGAGCCTCAGCTTCAGGATCTGTCCTTCCAGTGAGCACTCAGGGTTGATTTCCTTCAGAATGCATCGGTTTGATCTTCTTGCAGTCCATGGGACTCTCAAGAGTCTCCTCTAGCACCAGAATTCAAAAGCATCCATTCTTCGGTGATCAGCCTTCTTTATGGTCCAGCTCTCCATACATCACTAAAACCATAGCTTTTACTAAACGGACCTTTGTTGGCAAGGTGATGTCTCTATGTTTCTACTTTACAGATATGTACCCCCCCCCAAAAAACCCCACACATACAGTGTTTAGCATGAAGTAGGTACCGCTTTGCAAATTGGGAGCCGAGGCTCAGAGAGAAGGACCTGTCTTCCTGGTGATCTGTGGCTGGGGGTGAATTTAGTCGTTCCCCCCCCATCACATCCCCCCTCTCCTGTACCCCTAAGAGTAAATTATTCCCTGCCTTTTGGAAACAAGAGAGCCTACCCCAGTTGCACAAGGTATATAAAATCTTATAAATGTAAAACTGCTTTCTAAAAAAAACCAACCACAACCATTTGCAGATAGGAGCTGTTGGAACTTACTGGAAATTTATTCCTTAGGTGGGAGGCAGAAATTAAAGCCTGCTGCTATAAAAACCAATATTTCTATGCATCTGAGAATCCTTCTGCCAGTGAATCTGGATTTTTATTTATTCATTCATGCGTTCCCTTGTGGCTGTATTTATTTATTTATTTGTTTGTTTCCTTACGGCTGTAGCTCAATCCTCAATTTCTTCAGCTAGAGCTGGGACCGCCTTTCTCCCTGACACCTTTGCAGTCAGCGCAGACATTACTGGGCTAGATGGGTCTGGCTTGATTCTGAATCTTTGAGACATTTCCGCCCTGGCCGCAGGTGTTCAGTCGCTCAAAGCTTTTGATAATCCCATTGAAGAAACTGGAATATGAGCCCCTTCCCAGCTGGAGAAACAGAAAATAGCATGTATATTCCGCTCTAATGTTTTTTCCCCCAAAATATCAAAAGCAAAGATCTTTCACGGTCCCACGAGGCCTCAGTGGCGGTTTGTTTTTCCCAGCAAGGCTTCGCTGCGCGTGAGCATCCTTCCCCGAGGCCAAATGGAAGCAGATCCTTGCCGCTCTGGTTCCTGTTAGGTTGTGACGAAGTCGTTGCCCCCTATTTGTGCAGAGTGGGTCGAAGGGAAGTAAAGAAAAAGAGTGGAACAGAGGAGTTATTAGGGGTAACCCATGAGAACAGGGCCTCAGATCTCCTGCCTCCCCCCCCCCTTAAAAAATTATAATTCTAAAGGCAGGAGGCTGCCTTGTTGTAGAATTATAGCGTCAGAACCGCTCTTACCACCAGAAGGTTCTTCCTGATGTTGAGTCGGAATCTCCTTTTAATTTGAATCCACGGCTCTAGGTTCGAGTCCTGCCATCTGGAGCAGCAGAAAACAAGCTCGCTCCATCCTTCAGGTATTTGAAGATGGCTATCATATCACCTCTCAGTCTCCTTTGAGGCACAAATACAAGATGGGTGACACCTGGCTTGAGAGCAGTACATGTGAAAAGGATCTAGGAGTCTTGGTTGACCACAAACTTGACATGAGCCAACAGTGTGAGGCGGCAGCTAAAAAAGCCAGTGCAATTCTGGGCTGCATCAATAGGAGTATAGCATCTAGATCAAGGGAAGTAATAGTGCCACTGTATTCTGCTCTGCTCAGACCTCACCTGGAGTACTGTGTCCAGTTCTGGGCACCACAGTTCAAGAAGGACACTGACAAACTGGAACGTGTCCAGAGGAGGGCAACCAAAATGGTCAAAGTCCTGGAAACGATGCCTTATGAGGAACGGCTAAGGGAGCTGGGCATGTTTAGCCTGGAGAAGAGGAGGTTAAGGGGTGATATGATAGCAATCTTCAAATATATAAAAGGATGTCATATAGAGGAGGGAGAAAGGTTGTTTTCTGCTGCTCCAGAGAAGCGGACACGGAGCAATGGATCCAAACTACAAGAAAGAAGATTCCACCTAAACATTAGGAAGAACTTCCTGACAGTAAGAGCTGTTCGACAGTGGAATTGGCTGCCAAGGAGTGTGGTGGAGTCTCCTTCTTTGGAGGTCTTTAAGCAGAGGCTTGACAACCATATGTCAGGAGTGCTCTGATGGTGTTTCCTGCTTGGCAGGGGGTTGGACTCGATGGCCCTTGTGGTCTATTCCAACTCTATGATTCTATTCTATGATTCTATGATTTCTCTTGTCTGGGCCAAACCTACCCACCTCCTTTGACCGTTCCTCATCAGGCTTGGTTTCCAGACCCTTGATCATCTTGGTCTTTGCACATTTTCCAGCTTGCCAACATCATTCTTAATAGTGGTGTGCGTCCAGTTAACTAGGAGAACTAAGCCCCTAAATGTTCCCGGCAAATTAGAGTATGAAAGTATTAAAACCTGTCACCTCCTTCCCCAAACCTGGGAAGCTTCTGCCTGGCTTAGGGAAGGAGGCACGATGCTCTTGCATGCAATGGCAGGACGTCAAAAATGTCACGTGTGCAATGTCGCCCCCCCCCCAAGCAGGACAAGTGGTCAGGGATGATGGGAGTTGTAGTCTCAAAACATCTGGAGGGCTGAGGTTGAGGGAGCCTGAATTAACACATGCATATTTTATGCCATGGACCTGCACTCAAGTGCATTTTTTGTTTGTTTGTTTGTTTGTTTGTTTGTTTGTTTGTTTGTTTGCAAAGCCCCTAGGGGCGGAGTCTTCCAAGGCCAGGGGGAGGAGCCTAAAACTTTCTCCTTGCTTTTTGTGTGTGTGCAAAAGTTGTCCTGAATGGGCTTCCGTAGCACCACGTCCTTGGTCGCCTTGTGGTGCCACGAGATGCGACTGCAATATGTGCACCTGGATCTATATTATTCCTTTTCTGGTGCTGTGGATTTTTGGGGGGCCAGGCCATTAGCTCTGCACCTCCCTTTGCAGAGTGTGGGCCCTCCTAGATCTATGACTTTTCTGCAGCTCGGCTGCCGATTTCAATTTCTCGGCGGCGTCCAGCATCTCTGTGAGCTTCCAGATCGCTTTATAAGTAATGGCGTTCGTGAACCGGGGGGTTCTGGGTGCCTTGAAAAGTTCCGCAGTCTTCGGTCGGCCATCGTTTGCTTGCTTGAGAAACAATTAGCCCTTTGGGGAAATAATTGGAAAGGAAATGCGCCGTGAAGCTTGGCTCTGCTAACTTCTGTGCTGAGGGTTCACCAGAAGGTGGTTTGCCTCGGGGTCCGAAACACAATCCTGCCTCAAATGACACAACTATGGCAATTGCATTTTCTTGGTATAACGGCATTTAAATGCGCCCATCTGCAATGTAGCAGCCTGTACTCTCAAAGCTTTCTTCAGAATAACCTTTTTGTGTAAAAAAAAATATTGTAATAAAAGATATATATATATTATTATTTGGAATGCAATTTCCAGCTCGTGATCTTTTTTTATTTTAAGGGTGAGGTCCTCTTTTGACTGCCCCTTGTTCGTTTCAGAATATTGGCGTGCTGCCTTTGCATTTAAAAACGACACCGGAATTGTGCTGTGATTGAAAAACAACCGTAGCTATAACAACTACAGTGGTACCTCTGGTTACGTACTTAATTCGTTCCAGAGGTCCATACTTAACCTGAAACTGTTCTTAACCTGAAGCACCACTTCAGCTAATGGGGCCTCCCGCTGCTGCCACGCCACTGCAGCACGATTTCTGTTCTCATCCTGAAGCAAAGTTCTTAACCCGAGGTACTATTTCTGGGTTAGCGGAGTCTATAACCTGAAGCGTATGTAACCCGAGGTACCACTGTATAGGTTTTCTTAGTATATCGTAGAGCAGGAAGGGAGGAGATTCACCCGAGGCTGCTGTTCATCCCTGAAAGATGTCCTGTCCAGCCTCTGCTTAAACCTTGGGTAGCAGAGACCTGACCACAACCTTCCAAGCACCGGTCTCTTCCCCCGTCAATCAACTTTTGCCACTGGGAAGTTTCTTAACAGAACACTGCCCTTCCATTCTAGCCGTTCTCTCTGGAGGAATGGAAGGCAGATCTGCCCCATTGTCTGTGGGGCATCCCATCAGGCAGGTCCGGATTTAGGTTTGACGAGGCCCTCAGCTACTGAAAGTAACAGGGCCCTTTATATGCCCAGCTTCCCTTTGTCAACAACAAAATGTTGCTCTTTTTTGTGTTGAATATATGCTAGATGGTAATTTATGGACCTAAAAGGTATCTCAAGCCATTTGCACATAACAGTCCATGCAGAATGTAGGCACCCTATACAGTGGTACCTCGGGTTAAGAACTTAATTCGTTCCGGAGGTCCGTTCTTAACCTGAAACTGTTCTTAACCTGAAGCACCACTTTAGCTAATGGGGCCTCCTGCTGCTGCTGCACCGCTGCTGCGTGATTTCTGTTCTCATCCTAAAGCAAAGTTCTTAACCCAAGGTACTATTTCTGGGTTAGCGGAGTCTGTAACCTGAAGCATCTGTAACCGGAAGTGTCTCTAACCCGAGGTTTTGTTGTTGTTGTTGTTGTTTTGTCGTTTAGTCGTGTCCGACTCTTTGTGACCCCATGGACCAGAGCACGCTAGGCACCTCTGTCCTCCACTACTTCCCGCAGTTTGGTCAAACTCATGCTGGTAACCTCGAAAACCCGAGGTACCACTGTATATAAAAAAGGTAAAGGACCCCTGATGGTTAAGACCAGTCGCAAATGACTCTGGGGTTGCAGCGCTCATTTCGCTTTACTGGCCGAGGGAGCTAGCGTTTGTCCGCAGACAGTTTTTCCGGGACATGCATGCCAGCATGACTAAGCAGCTTCTGGCAAACCAGAGCAGCACAC